TCTCAAGTGTAGCACATACTAGTTTTTTTCCTCGCTATTTAGAATTCTGATTAATTCTCTACATAAAATACTGAAACATAGAATACTGAAAATATTGCATGATACTGTCAAAAAGTTCATTTAGTGCCAATAGTCTGTGTTTCTCTTCTAACCATCAACACTGAAAATACTTATAAAAAGAAAACGAGAGAGAGAGAAGCTTCTTTTCCTCCTCTATTCACTTGCTCGATAGCAAAAAATCTTGATAGGTTCTAATTTTTATTGCTCGTACTCCCTTCTTTACGTTCATTATTAATTTCCTGCAGTGAATGTGTGTGTGTTAAGCTTTTCTTCGCTGGCTTTCTCTTTTGTCATTCACCTATTCAATTTTTTTCTCTGAAGTCTTAGCATAAAAGAACGAAAAGGGAAAAAAAGAAAAGAAACAGGAAAACAAGAAGAAACTAACCATGATCATCTCGGAAACGCGAATAATAATAAAAAAAAGAAGATAGCACAAAGAAAATGACTAAATCAAATTAACTTGAATTCCATTGTCTTTTTGCACACACATATATATTGCTGTTTGCATAGTGGTAATACTAAATTAATTGATCAAGCTATGAGATTCTATTCTGTTGTCTCTTTATTCTTATGCATCAAAAAAAGAAAACTATAGAGATACTAATCAATATAACTCCCAGACTCATTGATCTCCCAAGCGATTGTTTGTCAAAGAGAGAATGTTTCCAATGATGCAGAAGTGCTCATTAGACTAATATAGAAATACAGTCGAACCCGCCTATAAGAGCTCTGTATAAAGGAGCGTTACGCTTTTAAGAGCCGTTTTTCAATTCCCCGTTTTTTCGTAATGTATTTTACATTGTGGCAAAGTCCGCCTGTAAGAGCCTCGGATACAAGAGCTATCCGCTTATAAGAGCGCTGTTTTGACGCTTTTTCGCGATTTTAGTCCGCATAAAAGAGCTTTTTTATCTATATGATTATAAATATGTACTTATGTTCTTCTTCTTTTTCTTTTCTGTCATATCTATGTGATGAATTTTTCCTTTCCCTCGTTCTATATATTTTCCCCCATTTTTCGTTGAATCCTTACTTTTCAAACAATGGCATCTACCAGCGGTAAACGTTGCACATTATCGATTGAACAAAAATTGAAAGTCTTAGAAGCACTGAAATCGAAAAAGGCAGACGATGTGGCTAAACATTTCAACATCGGCTATTCTACGGTGAAGAAGATAAGGCAAAACGAAGAAGTCGGATTTGTTGATAAACCGATGCCAGGT